TTTTGCTTGTAATCGCAATTAATTTCCCTCTGATCACTGCTTTCATCGCATCCCACAGTATATCTGGCTGTACTTCTCCATTATCATTTTCTCTCAAATATTCCTTAATATTTTTACTGATCTGTGTTGTCATTATTGTATTATTAAGTATTCCTGTATTCATTTTCCATAAAGTTTTCCTTTTAATTTTGTTGTTTAGTTGAATTTTGAGATATATTGCATTATGATCTGATAGATCCGACCCGCCTATTTCACATTCCTTTATTTTATATCTATGTTCTTTTTGTATTAAAAAATAGTCAATTCTCGAGTAGGTTTTATAATGAGCAGAGTAGTGGGTATAGTTCTTTTGCGCTGGATTAATTTCTCTCCATATATCTATAAGTCCCATTTCTTTAGTTATTGTATTTATTAATTTGGTTAGTGTTTTTTTATATGTTGCAGTACTTGTTGTATCGAGTTGGGAATTCATTATTAAATTAAAGTCTCCCCCACATATACAAACCCCCTCCATTTCCATTGCTAACATATTTAGTATATATTCATAAAATTGTTTATTACTTTCTGGTGGTGCGTATACATTGGCTAGTGTTACCATCTCATTTTCTATCTTTCCTTTGATTATGATAAATCGGCCTTCTTTATCTCGGACCTCTTTTACATTTTCATAGTTCTGTGAATTAGATATTAAGATTGCCACCCCTCTTTTCCGGCTATTGGGACATGAACTATAGTATGTATTTTTAAACCCAAGTTTTTTAAGTTTTTCGTGTTCTTTCTGTGATAGGTGGGTTTCTTGTAGAAAACTAATTTGTATTTTTTCTTTTTTGATTTTATTTATTATTTTCGCTCTTTTTATTGGATTGCCCAGCCCATTTACATTCAGTGACATTATTTTGATTTCCTGGTTTTTATCATACATCATTTCTTATTCTTCTTGTGTCTTGCCCTTTCTCTCAGTAAGTTCTCCCTTTTGTCCTTGCAGATGGCCTTTCTAGTCTTGAGATACATAAAAAGAAAGAAAAAAATAAAAAAAATACTGATACAGAATAAGTAAATAAAGTACCCCCGCCCCCGTTTAAGAACCCCCTCCTTGTAACAACCAAACTTAGAACCTGTTGCTACAAGGTAACTGCCTTTGAACTTCCATGTTGAGATGCCCTCTTGTGACTCTCTACCCCTCCTCTGGGGGGAATGCCTTCCTTTCCAGAAGGGCCCCCCTACCTCCCTTTCTGTCTCAGTCATTCCACTCTAAACCGTGCCTAGTGACACTCGTTAACCAACATTTTTAAACTTTTTACCTTTATACATGTTCGCCTCATTTTCCTAGAGCGATACTTCCCCTTATTTATTCCCCTCCCTCTGTCTTTTTTCTCCTAAGTTCGTATTCTTGCAGACGTTCTCTGACTCTGTTCTTCAGCATTCCGTTATCCCCCACCTTTTTCCAGCTCGCCGGCCCCTTCGCATTAGCCTCTTTATTCTTTTGCATTTCTTCCTCTGCCATCTGGAGTCCTTCCACTGCGCATCCTCGTGACTTCAGGTCCCTCACCGCCTCCTCCGCGCTGTTGTAGCTCTTCATTCCGTCTTCCCAGAAGATGCGCATTTTAGTGTAGGGCGTTTGGAATCGAATTTTCATGCTTTTTAATTTCTTCTTTATTGGGAGATACGCCTTTCTCTGTTGCAGTACTTTTGCAGTGTAATCATGATCGAAATACACTCCCTCTCCCTCAAACATAATTTTTTTCCCCTTCTCCCAGGCTTTGTTCAGAATCATGTCTTTCGTTTTACTTTGCTGGAATTGTATTATTATGGATCTGGGTGCCTGCCCTTCCTTCGGCTTGGGCGCCTGCGCTCTGTGTGCGCTTTGTATTTGCAGATCTTCTTCTAATCCTAGTTCTTTCTTGAGCCATTCTTCTATTGTCTCCTTCAATTCGGATGGTTTAACTTCCTTACTTTCTTTGATTCCATACACCCTTAAGTTGTTCCTCCTTGCTCTTGCTTCGATGTCCTCTAGTTTGTCTCCGATGTATTTCTGTTGTTGTAACATGTGCTGTATGGCCTCGTTAGCTTCACAGCTCCATTGTTCGAGCTCTTCCGTTCGTGTTTCTCCGTCTTGTATCCTTTTCGTTTGTTCTTTAATTTCTTTGTCCATATTATCAAGTAGCTTATTAATATCTCTCTTGAAGTCGGTCAACTCCTTTCTCATTTCTGTTGTAATCTCCTCTTTGTTCGCCTGGAGTTCGGTCTTCATTTCGGCAGTTAGTGTTCGTATCTGGAGGCTAATGCTATCCAAACTAGCTACTCGTGTTAGCTCTCCTGTAGCCCCCACTGTTAGCATCTGCTTTGTGTCCTTACTTGGATCTTCTGGCTGCTTTTTGCTCTTCCCTTTGTTCGTTGTACCTCCGCTCATTGTTGCTTTTCCTTTTCCTTATTTTTCCCTTTACAGTTCAGGCGTTTTCTAGTTCGTGTTTATGTTGGTTATACGGAGCTCTTGTCACTTGCGTCTGTTTCACTCTGTCGCCATACCGGAAGTCTTGTTCTTTGTTTAATGTTATATATTATACTGATCTGCTCATTGGGAAAATTATTCCACAATTGTACATCTGATGCCTGTACAGTACTCTCACCATTCCTTTTCACTCTGTAGACTTCCAGAACAAGTCAGAGACCTGTCGTCTGCAGAAAGACTTAGACGACTCTGCAGTCGTCGGGTTTATGAGAGATGGTCAAGAGGACAGAGAGCTGGTGGACCACTTTGTGGCATTGTGTGGGGACACTCACATAATCTTGAATGTGAACAAAACAAATGAGATGATTTAGAAAGAAACGGGAATAGCTCAACATGCATTATTGGGGAGAAGGGGGAGGTGGTGGAAGATTACCTTACGAATACCTCGGTGTTCTTCTGGACAACAGACTGGACTGGAGACACAAGCGTGAAGCCTTCTACAAGAAGGGACAGAGTAGACTGTATTTCTTGAATAATAATTTAGATCCTTCAAGGTCTGCAGCAAGAGGCTGCAAATCTTTTACAGGTCTGTTGAGATCTCTTGGGCCACCAGCTGTCATGGCAGCAGCATCAGAGCCTGCAGGGACCTAAAAAGGCTCAACAACCTGACAACAAAGGCTGGTTCTGTTCTGAAGATGACTGAGAACCACTGGAGATGATGGTGCAAAGAAGGATTTTTCATAAAATCAATAACATTATAGAAAACACTGAGCATCCTCTTCATGCAACAAGCATCTTCTTCAGAGCTGCTGTAACACAGGAGATCCTTCCTGCCCACAGCCTTCAGCATCTTTAACCACTCAGATTTCCAACTGAGCTCAATATTATTACTAGTATTTATTTTAATGACTGCTTTGAAGAATTAGTTAAGACAACACTTAACTTCCTTCTGGGATTAATAAAGTCAGTTTGGACTTTAGACAGAGAACCTTAGTTCTGTGGTGTCGATGAAGAAACCCAATAATGAACCGGTGACACTGCTGAACTCAAACATATTTGTTATGTTCTCCAACGTGTAATAAATGCGGTTTGTATAAAATCCACTCCACTGCCTCTGCTCAGCAGCAGAGAGTTTCTCCTCACATGTGTGGCAAGAGGTTTTCGCTCCACGTGTGCTGGCTGTTTACCTGTGAACTACACCTGGTTTGTTGTTGGGATTTTTTTCCTGTCACACTATTTCTAACCTTCTTCGTCCTCAGTGGTTTATTAATTTCCTCACCCAAGCTCCTGTTTTCCTGTAAACTCCTCCAAAGATGTGCTATCTACACCTGAAAAGGACGGGAGATTGGATGTGTCGAGGAGCTGAGGGACCAAGCTCTTTTCTTCAGTAAATAAATGATCCGACAAGAATACCAACAATCTAAATGTGTTAAACAACAACCTGCTGTACACATGGACATGTAAAGAAAGGAACTTCACAATAAAAGCTCATTGCAAGAATTTAAAACACTTTTATTTGAAGTCATGAGCCCCAAAGATAATTGAGATAATGTCCATGCCTAGGTCGACGTCATTCATAGAGGATAGCGGAGGCTACTGCTGCAGCTGCTGCTGGCGTGCAGGCTCCACCATCAAAGACAGCCCGCCTGCAGCAGATGTGGTCAGCCCAAAAGGCTGGACACTGGCCACACGTTGCAGGTGTGTCCTACTGCGCATCTGTTGGCGGAGAGTCTGTAGAGGAGTGGAGGGAGGAGATGTAGAATAATAGTGTAGGGAGATTGGATGTGTCGAGGAGCTGAGGGACCAAGACAGAAAATTTGTCTTCATTTTTTTGGATTTTTCTTTTTAAAGACTTTTTGAGACTTTTTTTTAATTTCATATATATATATAAACAAAAAGCACTTTAAATCTTTGAATGTTTTTATGATCTTGGACACAGATACATTTATTACATATGTTTTATAACATCACAAATATATTTCAACACAGATGCATTTTTTATGTATATTCTATAATTTTACATGTGTATTATCACAAATATATTTCACAGCTCAGTGGTTCTTCATCACAATTATAATTAAATTTAAAGTGGTAATTGTGAAAAATTATTTACATAATTACTGTTATTATGCAGATTTCGCATAAATTTCCACTTTTGTATTCGCATGGAGCGGGAATCGAACCTACGCACTTCGACTCCCGGACAAAACAGTTAAAAAAAAACAACAAGGAGAAGAATGAGCAACAAGCGTGCGCCGAAGACCAATCAAATGGCCGTATTTGTTCAATTTTTTGAGACTGACATTTTTGCCGATGAATCAGAGAGCTGGATTGTCACAGCCTGTCCGAGCGATCCGCCATTGCTCCGCTCCGAGATCTGAGGTGAGAAGTAACTATCTTTTTATTTGTAACCTCAAAACTTAAAAAGCATTACAGCTCGTTTAGGGGGGTTAAGACGGTGCAAAGAATTTCTCACAGCACCTGTTCACACTTTACTCCAGTAGATGGCGGTAATGCACATTAACGTTGCTCTCCAACTGCCATGAACCCATGAAGGAAAAAGAGAAGAGAGAAAAAAAGAAGAATCTTGAAGACGCCATTTTTCTGTCCTCGCTTGGAGCAGATAGAGATGAAACGTGAGTAAAGCTTTACTTTTTAGTGTTTGTCATTATTTTCTTAGCCAAAATGTGCCAGTGTTGTTTTTTTCTAGAAGTTTTGGTGGCGAAAATGTGACTTAAATTCAAGATTTACAACTTTTCTCTGATAATTTCTTTGCAAACGGGCGTCGTCATCCAATCATGTGCGGCTTTGGTCGCGTCTGTTCAGGGAGGTTTTAGAGCAAAACTGTGCTTGTGACATAGCAGCGTTCGGTCATTCTGAACAAGCAGGTGGTTATAACTTAGCATGACTTTGTTTAGCTACATAGTGTTTGTCCTTCACTGTCTTTTAATTAGTCATAAGCTCACCGTTTGCTGCTCTGCTATTGAAATATTCACTTATCTGTTTTAACAGCGAACAAGAGCTCAGATTGTAACGACAGCACCAGGTAAGTCCACTTTGCCTTAAATTTGCCAGTCTAAAGTATCCTAACATAAACGTCACTGTGTAGCATTAATATGTTTAAAAGTGTATTTGGCCTTCTCAGAAAGTAGATTGGCCAGGCAGCGATGTTGGATGAAGTTGGCTTCTATTTCGTATTGCCTAATTTGGTAGTAAACGGAAGCAGTTTGAGCAGCTCTGGTTCAATCTCTAAAATACACATTCAGTTTATCCTAGGATTCTAGGATTGAAATGTTTTACTAAACTTAACTCTACTAATAAAAACTCCAAGGGCGATTTTAAAACTTTGGGCTCGTATTCTAAACCATAAGCAAACTTTATTGCTTTTGAACATCTAAGCAAATGCTGAATAAAAGTACATTATCTACAACTGATGATACACATGAATACAAAAACGTGCATTTATCCACCCTAAAATTACCAGTGATTAATCTTCCTGTTTTGGCGATTGCTTGAAAAAACCTGTACAAACGGATTTATGTTAACTGACTTTGGTCTTCTATCCTCATTACTAAGGACACCCAGGTTGCTTGGTTTGTCATCACAGCACAAATGGGTTTTGGTTAGTTTTTAATACAGTGATCCCAAATTCCATACCCGAGGGCTAATATCCAGCATGTTTTGTTTTCCCTGCTTCAACACACCTGATTTTAATCAGCAGGTGATTAAGAAGCTTCTGCAGAGCCTGATGAGCTGCTGCACAGGTGAATCAAGAGTGTTGGATTAGGGCAACTCTAAAACATGGATACTGGCTCTCAGGAAGGGAGCTGGGAATCACTAGGTTAAGAGCTGGAAAGCTTCTCTCACAGGCTGCTGTACTGCTACTGAAATGGCTATAATCTTACACAGATGGAAAAATGAATGAAAAACATCCATGTGAGGCTCAAGAAATACTGCAAATTCCACAATATTTAAAAGTGGCTTCATTCCACTTTGTACTTTCTTTCCAAAAGCCTCCTTGTTTGGTGGAGTTCATGACTTAGGTCTTTAAGATATCCTTCATAAAACTGCTAAGACATAGACAGCTTTTTCTTCAAGAAGACCTGAGCTTTTTGGATCCAGAGCTCATACTCCTCATGATGTCCTATAGGCCTGCGACAACACAATTTGCTGGACGATGTATTATCCAAATGTTGTTGGTTTACACATTTACCTCTTCGCCAGTGATCAAAAGGAGTCTTATTGGTTTTCTCCCAGGAATTTTGACCCTAATGACTTTTCGTTGTTTAGGTCTTACTCGGACGCAAAAATGCTGCTTGCTTGCAGTTATTTAGGTGTGCCAGGGTTTTTCCTGGCTCAAATTGAGGCAGAGGTGGTACCATCCTGACCATGTGCCAGCACAAGCATACTCTGTGCATTTAACTGCCTCACTTTTTTAAAGGCTAAATATTTTTTCGTTAATCATTTTAAATCCAACTGTTCACTGCCAATGACGACTAAAGTCGTCATTTGCATTTTTTTTACTGTGTGGGCGTTGGAATGAGCCCCCGCACCGTGAGAACAAACATCCCAGCTCTAAAGCCAGGAAGGGAGAGACTTTAGAGCGGGGGTCGGCAACCCGTGGCTCTGGAGCCGCATGCGGCTCTTCCATCCATCTGATGCGGCTCTCTGTGCTTGTAAAATAATGAATGGATATTTAAATAAAAAGCTTTATATTTTACTGAATTAATTTTACATTTGTATGCCAATTATAAATGTAAAGATTGTCTGCGTGAACCCGAACAGTTCCAACCCGGTCTTACTGTGAGACCGGGTTGACGGGTCACGCTTGTGCGTAATCATATGTGCTTTCTGAGCTGAAGAGGATGTGAGATTCTGGGATTCTCCTCAGACGGCTCCTGGATGTGTCGCCACATTGGAGACAGGAACAAGCACAATTCAGCCAAAGTTTCATAATCAGGGAACGTTTTCTAAGTGACAAGTCTCGCTTCAGTCGGAGGAATCTTCCCGCATGCGCTCTGGTTCTGCGACGTGCTCCAAGCCCCTCCACATCTTCAGCTCGCTGTGCGCCGTACGTACGCGCTGACAGCAAGCTGCGCTGAGCAGTGTCCAGCTCAGATGTTCAGATGGGAATCTTTTCTTGAGCGATTTAGCTACATCTGCGATGTGCGTAGAATAAAATGTCAGTTCGTCTGCATGTGTCGGGGTAATTCTTTCTATTCTTTCTCCGTCAAAATAAACTGTCAAATACGGGAACTATCCGGTCAACACCAGCCCTGCTTTTAACTGTTTTGTTTTCTTGTGAAAATACATCAAATTAAACTTGATTAACACCAGAGCCAGGCGCACTGCGCCGTTATCTCCGTCACTGTAAATGAGGGAAAAACAAATTGATCGGATCCTTTTCTGACCTTCCCCACCTACAAAGTTTAATTACAACAATCAAACGTGACAGAGCCTGGATTTGTATTCTGAACAGTCTAAACATGTTTTAAAAAGAAACGTATGACAAAAGTGGCACCTGCTCAGTAAAACCATCAACAGGGTGAAAAATATCAAAATATTGTAAGCAGAGACGGACTACAGCTTCTGGATCCACTTTATATAAATCGTTTTATTGATTATCTTTTTATGAAAGATAACTTTGACGTACACAAGCGACCGGTACTGGCTGCTGTCACCTGTTGTGAGCAGCTCTCTGCTGTCTGAGGGTAGGCTCCGCCCACAACGCCATGGCTGCTGTGGCTCCCAGTGTTTTCTTTACTGTGGGAAACGGGTAATAATGGCTCTTTGATGGGAACAGGTTGCCGACCCCTGGTTTAAGTGTTTCAATTTTTTTAAATGAATTTGATTAAAAATAAAGGCGCCTGGCCCATCCCGTGTCCGAGGTAATTACATAGTCGTTGGCCCGAAGTCTGGCCCGAGGGCTGTCGGGCCGGGCCGACCCGAGGGTCTAGGGCTTCAGTGCAGGGCTCTAAGTGTTTGGACCCACAGCTCTGCGTTGGTGCACTGTTTGCCAGTGTTTGGACTGGCTTTTCCGCATTTGGGCTGGCTCCTCCACGTCCTGCTTCTACGTCCCGTTGCTCTGTGTATTTCCTCCACCGTCTATCGGTGTTTGCTCCTCCGTCCCGCTCCTCCGTGTTGTCTGCCCCGCAGTCCCACTGCTCCGTCCTGGTGCTAAATCTGCTCCACCGTCTATGGGTGTAAAGTGTACTAAAGCATAATTTTGTAGGTTTTAAGTCAACGCACATTCAACACTAATTGCTAGCTGCTTTTGCTACATTAGCAATGTGAGTTAGCACTAATTCTCTCAGTATTTAGCTTGTTTATCAAAAGAAATTGAAATATTATTAGTGGTATAGCAGATATAATTTCAAACTATAAACAAGTACGAAATGAAACAGTTAGTTACAGAGGTCCATGTTTTTTAAGTACAGGCTAGTTGCAGAATATAGCCTATAGCATAAATCTCAACCGTCGACAGCCTTACCTTAAAAAAATCACCTGTAAAAGTTGTTTATGCGTGTAGGCTGCCTTTATATAGCACAAAACATATTCATAATTTATTTTTAACATAATTTGAACCCAGGAAAAAGGGGAAAACTTACCTATGCAGCCTCCTTTGCCTCCGACCACACGCAGAATGAGACTGACTCCTCCAACTCCAAAAGTTGACTTTCCCGCATTTCACAACAAAAGCATGGGCGTTAGGGCTGTCGCGGTAACCGCAAAAATGAAATATCGCGATATGAAGAAGCCCACCGCGCTGCATCATGCGCCACCGCGATTACTGAACTTGGTTCAACTCAATGATGCATGTTGAGAAGGATGGCTGCACTGGTATCAAAACGAAACGTTACTTCGCTCCTGTGGGAGCACTTTGGTTTTCAGTACGTCAGCTGCTGCGCAGCCAGAGTCCTTGGCCGAGACAGAGCTGCCACCAGCGGCAAAAATAAATAAATAAATGCTCGGAGACCTGCTGAAGTCCCGGACAAGCACTGCTTCTGCAGCCGTCCCGAAGAGAGTTTGAGCCGAGCTGGAGCTCACTCGCTACCTGCAGGAGGAATGCATTCACCCTAAAGAAAACCCCCGTGACACGGTGGAGCAACAACCGGGAAAGATTCCCTTTGCTCGCCAGAGTCACACGCAAGTACGTGTGTGTTAGTGCAACGAGCGCACCATCCGAGAGGGTTTTCAGTGTTGCTGCAAATGTTGCCACCCCTCTCAGATCCTCTCTCAAACCGTAGTTAACATGCTGGTTTTCCTTGTAGGTAACAAGGACGTGACCGAGCTATAAATCACCATCATTCGTGTGTGTGAAAGTGAAATGATAGTGCGCCCGCCCCCCGGCGCGCGCGCGCACGGTACATGTAATTTTTTATGCTTGATTTTAAACAACTAAACAAAATGGGGACTTGTTTCTTATTTGTTAGATGCTGCAGCCAAATTTGCATTTAAAAGTTTAACCTTCTCCTGAATTTTGTTGTTTTTAAGTTCAGTCGGACTCTGACTGTCGGAGAAACAAACGTTACTGCGATCTGTGTTGTTACTGCCCTTTGATCTGCATTCAGTAAAGTGTTATTAAAGAAGGAACGGAAATTTTTAACCTTTTTTAAATGTGTAAACATTATGTTTCGATAGTACTGCAATAAAAAAGGGCTGCAATAATATCGCACACCGCAATATTAAGCCACCCTGAATCACCGCAGGGGGAATTCCTCAACCGCGACAGCCCTAATGGGCGTTAGCAGAACTTGGGCACGATATTATGAAGTCCAACTTAAATATGTAAGTTCATACGACTCACTTAATATTGTTGAAGCACACAACTAATTTGGTTTGTCGGGCTGACTTAATTTATTGCACGTAATTTGTGAAACATGGATTTTAAGTTTAAACAACTTAAAAATACCTTTTCATCTCACCAGGGAAGTCTGGGGGGTCGGCGACGGGGAGTCGGGAGTCGGGACCAGGGAAGTCTGGGGGGCCGGCGACGGGGAGTCAGGAGCCGCGACCAGGGAAGTCTAGGTGTAGTGGGATTAGTCATCTGCCACCAAGTAATTGGACGACCTATCATTGAGGGAAGGTGCTAATATAAATAGGGCCTGGGGTGGCGCTACCGCAATCTTTGTAAATGCAAATTGTGGTGTGTTGGTGGTCAAAGACCCCCTGAGTGATACCTCTAAGTTTCCTGGCATTGTGGGGATGAATATCATCCGCAAGTGCTACAGCGAATGTTTTGGCCAGCATGGGCTGGCTTTGTTTGAGCAACCCCCTGTGTCAGGGGCCCCTGAGCCTGTTGTCCAGACATTGCAGAAGTGTCACCAGGGTAAGGGAGACATTCCTCAACAAACCTCGGGAGTGGTTAAGGTGCTGGGCCGATGGGCACATCGTATCCCAGGAGGCACGCTGAAATTTGTGGCCACCTCGTGCTCGGAACAGTTCACCGGTTTACCTGTGTTGTTTGAGCCCCGTGTCTGGCCTCCCTGCCGGGTTACTCACCTCTCCATCTTTGGTGCAAGCACAGAAAGGTACAGCTTATCATTAACGTTGGCAGCACGGATGTTTTGTTGTACCTGCGCACTAAGGTTGGAACCCTGATGAGGGTTTTGGTGACTAGTCCGCCAGCTGGCTTAATAGAGATACCATCTGGGTCAGCCGTTGTCTCATCTCAGGCGGCCTCGGAGTCTGTAGTGACTCAGCTGCAGGCTCTGGAACTACCTGCTTTGACAGCAGAGGATGGGAATAGTGTGAGGTCTCTGCTGTTAAAATATGCTTCTGTTTTTTCAGAACATGATGAAGACCTGGGGTGCACAAAACCGATCTCCCATGACATTCCACTCATGGACGAGGCCCCTGTCCGGCAACACTTTAGGCGCATTCCACCGTCAGACTATGAGGTGGTCAGGGAGCATAGTAACAACCTGCTAGAGGCCCAGGTAATCCGGGAGAGCAGCAGTCCATATGCTTCCCCCATGGTGCTGGTATGGAAGAAGGATGGGAGTCTGCACATGTGTGTGGACTACAGGCACCTAAACAGCAAAACCAGAAAGGATGCCTTCCCCCTCCCTTGTATCAAGGAGTCGCTCGATGCGTTGAGTGGTGCTCGCTGGTTTTCCACTCTAGATCTAGTCAGTGGCTACAACCAAGTACTTGTTACTGAAATAGATAAGCCCAAAACAGCTTTTTGTACCCCTTTTGGGTTGTTCGAATGGAACCGCATGCCTTTTGGTCTTTGTAATGCTCCCAGCACCTTCCTATGGCTAATGCAAAGACTTTGGTGACCAACAGTGCCAGTCCTTATTGTTATATTTGGATGACATTGTTGTCTACTCTTCCACCATCAAACAACATCTGGACAGGCTGGAGATGGTGCTGGAGCAGCTGCAAAGAGAGGGGCTCAAGGCGAAGCTGCCCAAGTGCGCTTTCTTTCGACAGGAGGTGCAGTACTTAGGGCATGTGATTTCGGACAAGGGTGTTGCAACAGATCCTTCTAAGGTTGAAGTGGTGGCAAACTGGCCTATCCCTGTAACAGTGTCAGATATGCAATCATTTCTAGGATTTTTCAGCTATTACCGACGGTTCGTGGAGGGGTTTGCTAAGTTGGCTGCCCCCCTTCACAGGCTGGTTGCGGAGCTGGGGAGTGCAAAATCTGCCCGGAGGCAAGGGCAGAAGATTGACGAGTGCTGGACCAGGTTGTGTAACAACAGCTTTGAAGCTTTAAAGGGTTGATTGGTCACTGCACCAGTGCTAGCCTATGCCGACTTCTCTCTCCCTTTTATTTTGGAGGTGGACGCTAGTTATGGGGGTTTAGGCGCAGTACTATCCCAGGAGAAGCAAGGGCAGGTGAGGCCTGTAGCCTACGCTAGCAGAGGGTTGCGGCCCACTGAACGCAACATGGCCAATTATAGCTCCATGAAGTTGGAGTTCTTGGCGCTCAAGTGGGCAATGACTGAGAAGTTTAGGGAGTATTTGCTGGGCCATCGTTGTATTGTCTACACAGATAATAACCCGTTAAGCCATTTGTCATCTGCCAAATTGGGGGCCACTGAGCAGCGTTGGGCTGCCCAGTTGGCTTCCTTTGACTTTGAAATAAAGTACCGCCCGGGGAGGAGCAACAGAAACGTAGATGCGTTGTCTAGACAAAATCCACCCGGCGGACAAGAGCTAGCAGCAATGCTCCCAGGAACACCTCTCCCAATGCCACTGCAGCAGGTTTTACAGGCTGACCAGTCTGAGGTGGCTCAGGCTGCTGTCTTTGCATTGCCACATTTTAATCAGGCTGACCTCTGTGTTTACAGCAAGCTGATCCAGTCCTTAGTGAACTCAGGGCATTTTGGATAGAAAAGAGGCATCCCACCCGTGAGGAAAGACTCCAGTTGTCTCCGGCTGCATTGGCCCTCCTCAAGCAGTGGGACCGGTTGGTGGAGAAGGATGGGGTCCTATACCAGCAGATCTGGCTCCCCCGGGAGGCTGAGGGGGTGTTGCAGGTAGTGTTGCTTGCCACCCTGAGGGAGGAAGTGCTTACTGAACTTCATCAGAAGCATGGCCACCAAGGGGTTGAGAGGACACTGCAGCTGCTCAGACACCGATGCTATGGCCTAACATGACTGGTGATGTGGAGCAGTGGTGCAGTAAGTGTGAGAGATGTCAGGTTGCCAAGGATACCCAGCGGGGGCCTCAGACCTACATGGGACATTTGTTGGCCTCTCGGCCAAATGAGGTTTTAGCCCTAGATTACACTGTGCTGGAGCCCTCTGGTGATGGGTGTGAGAACGTCCTGGTGATGACAGATGTCTTCAGCAAATATACACTGGCTGTCCCTACCAAAGACCAGCGGGCTTCTACTGTGGCACAGGTGTTGGTGACTGAGTGGTTCTTGAAGTTCGGCGTTCCAGCATGTATACACTCAGACCAAGGCCGAAATTTCGAGAGCACTCTCATTCAGCAGCTGTGTGCTTTGTATGGGATCAAGAAGTCCCGAACCACTCCATACCATCCATCAGGTAATGGACAGTGTGAGTGGTTTAATAGAACACTCCATAACTTGCTTCGCACTTTACCCATCTCTCATAAACGAGACTGGAGTTCCTACTTGCCACAGCTGCTATTCTAATATAACACCACTCCCCACCAGGCCACAGGGGAATCTCCTTTTTTCCTTCTGTTTGGACAGGAGCCAAGGCTACTGGTGGACTTCCTGCTTGGTCGTGTCCAGGACCCAGTGGGAGGCCATGTCCAAAACTGGGTCCAGGAACATCAGAACCGGCTACAGTTTGCCTTTCAAGGGGCAAGAGAGAGAATGGCAGCAGCGGCTCAGCGTAGCAAAACCTACCATGATCAGCGGGTCAAAAGCTCCCCTCTGGCTGAGGGCCAGCCGGTGTTACTGCGGCAACATGGCATAAAGGGTCGGCATAAGATCCATGATCTGTGGAGCCCAGTGATACATTTGGTGGTGAAAGCACCAAAGGAGGGAAGCTCAGTGTATGGAGTGGCACCAGTGGAAGATCAGACCAAGGTCAGACATGTTCATCGTAGCATGTTGAAGCCACTGGTAGGAACCATTCCACTGGAGAACACTGCTCCCCTTCCACGGTTGTCGGTCCAACGGGAGGATGAAGGCGAGCTATCAATGAATAGTGACCTTTTTGTGAGGGTGACCTTTTTGTTTTGGAATTCCAGGATTATGCGACAGTCCCGGCACCGACCACCACAGTGGATGAGTTTACACTGGGGGCACCGAGGGCAGTAGTACATCCAGCTTTCACAGTCTTGAGTCCCACAGGACCCACAGAGTCTGAGTTAATGGTGACCCAAGCCGTCCCACTTGTTTCGCAACCTGCTCCAGTTGCCCATTGCCCTGCAGTAACTGAAACTAATGTCCGGCGAACTCAGAGGCGCACTGCTGGACGGCACTCCAACCTCCATCACCTCCCTAGACCAGTAGGAGGGTCAGAGCAGCAAGCTGAGCCCCTGACTGTGGACATATCAGGTATGAGGTGGATAGTTTTTAGACCATGGGAATAAATCCCAGGCTTTGGTGAGTGATCGTCGGGGCGACGATCTATTTGGTGGGGGTGGATTGTAGTGGGATTAGTCATCTGCCACCAAGTAATTGGACAACCTATCATTGAGAGAAGGTGCTAATATAAATAGGGCCTGGGGTGGCACTACCGCGATCTTTGCTTTGGCTCAACTTCCGCTTCTGGGTGAAGTGCAATTGTGTACAGGACTCCGGCGTGTTGGACTGTGAGTAATATCCAAAACGCTGCAGTAGCTGCATGGAGTCTAGTGTTTATTGGTTGTTCCTGCTGCAGGAATTGTTGCATGTGGTCCTCCCAGAGGAACGGAAGACTTCTCTTTATCCTATATGCTTCAAAGAAGTGGTATGTACATCTGCGCTCCTCTCCACTTAGCTGTGGCTGTAGGGTAATGCTAGTTAATGTGTCTTCCAGATCAAGGAGGGGGGGGTGTCTCCACCGGAGACTCTGTTGTTCTGCTGCTTTTCTGCACTGTTCCATTGGATCTGTTTCCCTGTCGTTGACCCGGTGCTGGACCATCATCCGGCTCCAAGGCCTCTCCACCCTGCTGCTCGGGCTGGTTAAACGGGATCAGCGGAGACCATCGGGAGCGGCTTTTCTCACTCGCTCCTCTAGACTGAGTACCAGCGGAGGACCTACACCCGGTGTGGGTTTGGGTATTTCAACGAGGGGCTGCGGGCCCTACCGGCAGCTGTCGTCGGCCCGGGAGCTCATAAGGACGGCTGAGGCTCAGGCTAATAGACGCGTGTGCAGGCGAGCTGTATGCTCGCTCATTTCCTGACGGCCTGTCTGCCCAGTTGTTGCTGTGTTTTTGTGTGTGTGTGTGTGTGTGTGTGTGTGTGTGTGTGTGTGTGTGTGTGTGTGTGTGTGTGTGTGTTTGGATTTTCACCGTGCTTTTTGTTTTCTTTCCATTTAGGCTGTGAGCTGACAGTGGTGGCCGAGCCCTGGTGGTAGTCCCATCTGATGGTGTGCGTGTGCTCCAGAGTCACTTCACCCCCCCAATGCATGCACGTGTGATTGGGGTGAAATTACTTGTGGTTTGTAGTTTGTCTAGAGAGTTAATTTCCGGGCTCTATCTTAGGCAGTCCCATTAGTCAGCCTCAGCCTAAGTTGATTTGGTTTTAATTAGTTTTTATCTGTTAGGTGCATGGTATTTTTAGTAGATGATTTTAAACTCATTTTATTGTTCTTTTAATAAATCTCTGTTTATGTGGAATGGAACTCCGTCTCAAGCTTGGTCTGTAAAACTGAACTAACGTGCCTTTAGGTTCAGCTGGTTTTGGTTCCTGATTATCAGGTGGCGTTCTATTTTTAAATTGATAGGTGGCCCCGCTCACCACATAGGGATTGGGGACTCTGGAGGAGGAGGACAAAGAGGGGACTCTGGAGGAGGAGGACAAAGAGGGGACTCTGGAGGAGGACGACGAGAAAGGAAACCTCACTTGGCAATAAAAACAATTCTGATTTTAATACTTTAATACTAATAATAAGGGCCTGGGGTCTCATTTATCAAACATTGCGTAGAATCATTACTAAAACCGTATTTAAGCTCAGCAAAAAAATGTACTCATGCCAAGTAGGTTTGTGATCTATCAAACATGGAGTACGCACAGCTGCACGCAATCTCCGCTTCCTAAATCGGAGACTAACAAGAATGTTTCTCAGCTGCATTTTAGTCACATCCCACCCTCACCATGCCCACTTACTGCCATAAATAGTCAATGCAAAGGGCCTTGTGGATCTCATGCATATACATAAGCCAGCTGTTGCAGCGTTCCACCAATGACGATGGCGACCGTAGATCAAGGCAGATCAAGGAAGCGCAATTTCACAGAAGCAGAAATTGAGGTACCTGTGGGTGAGGTGGAGAAATGAAAGGAAGTGCTTCTGCAAAACGAGAAAATCCACGGAGTGGCACAGCGTTGCTGAAGCCGTCAATGTTGTGAGTTCTTCAGAGAGATCTGTGGCGGGGATGAAAAAAAAAAGGTCCAATCGAGATTCAATCCCCAGACCCCCGGGTGAAAGTCACACGTGCTAATCAGTCAGCCAAACGGAGATCTCTCCTGTACAAGTAGCCAGGGTGCATGATCAATCGGGTCACAGTGACAGGACACACACTGTCACAGACGCATGACATTCTGTTTCAATCTGTCCCTCTGCTGATATTCTGCATTCCGTATTCTGCGTTTCAGGGTGTGTGTGTGTGTGAGCGCGCACACGCGTGTGTGCGTGTGGGGGGTCTTGTTCTGTCTGAAAACGAAGCGGTACAAGTGATAGTGCTGCAGGATTTCATAATTTTATCCTTCTCAGCAGCAGCATTGCAGGTGCTCTCCATGTCCAACATGTGCGTAAGCCAGGTCCTTAGTCAACTTAAAGTTGCGCACATTTTTCCGCTAAGTTTTCTTTCATAAATCCTAAAGTTTGCGTGGAAAGTTGCTTACGCAGTTTTCCGACCCCGTTTTGTGCGTAAGCAAGCTTGATAAATAGGCCCCAGTTTATTAACTTTCAAGACTTAAAGAGTGACCGCGCAGACACCCTGTTCTTATTAAGCATATCTAAATTATTAGGCCCTCAAAAATAGATTTAGTTAGCTAATGAAACAAAGTAATTTATATTAAAATAAAGCACATCAGCTCACCTTGTCATTTGTAACAGGAATTGTGTTGACAAGCTTTCTAAAAGCTGGTGAGTCCACAATTGAAAGGGGCTGCATGTCTTCTACGATGAACTCCGCAAATAACCTCTTCACCTCACGTGGATCTAGTAGCTTCGGAGACTGTGAATTCTAAAGTTTGTTGCTTCTGTCTTTTGCTTGGAGTGTCATTGTTCTCTTCTGGGAACTTTCTCTTGTCTGATGGTCCAGAGCATCTCTGTCAACAGTGTGTTACCATGACATCGCTGAATGTGTTTTTTTTTTTTTTTTCAAATTACTGGTGCTGTTTGGTGAAGTTGAAAGCTCCTTTGACGTAGCACACAAATTGCACTTTTCTATAATGATTCTGTCCTTTTCTTTCACAAACTGAAAATAGTGTGAATAATACCACCGAGTAAATGTGCAGTCGATCTCCGTTTCTTTCTCAGTCATCCTTCCTGATTCTCTCATGGTTTGGTTTTGGGTTTTGAGTCACGCGCAATGGTTGTGCGAGCTAGATGTACAACAAGCCACTGGAAGTGCGTAGCGGATCGTCTTCAATGGTATTCAACTTGTTTTGGTCTGCAGCATATTTTTCATGCGTAACATCATCAATTCAAACCTAAATGTGCTTGTAACTCGTGTTACCGAAATTGTAACTAGTAATATTTTGCCGTGTACTTTTTAAGTAATGCACTATATTACTCCGTCACTGAAAAAAGGAATATATTACTTTAACTCCCTACTATCGTAATGTGTTACTCCCAACACTGGTTAAGGGTGTAGATCCAGAAAGCTTCTCTGCGTAAAAGGCCGTTAATAATATTACAACCTCTAGAGGGAAGAGTAACAGCTTCTATACCCCCAGAGTCTTAAAGATGCTACCGACCCGTGACTTATAGCGCAGCGCCATGGTGTATTGCTGTTTTAGGTTCTCCTATTCTGAGTTTAAGAGATTGTTTAGTTTGTCCCACATATGCCAGACCACACGGGCATTTAAGCAGGTAGTTCACATGAGTGCTAATGCAGTTAATAATGTTTCTTGCCAGTGTGTAGATGTGTAAAGTATTTCCCTAGCCGTAAAGAGGCTGTAAAATCACAGACTGATAGTGACCTGGCTTTGTTGCTACTTGACTTGTAAGTAATAATATTTCTCAATAACTTCGGAGACCATCTTGAATAAGGCTGACTCTCCGAAGGTTTATCAGTCGATCATGATGTGCATTGATTTTCTTGAGTTTTAGGCATATACAGTAGTTGCGTCTTTGGTTTTATGGCTTCTAAGCTTATATCTGTGTTTTTGTGTTTTTTATGAATTTTTTATTGTATTTACTGTTCTATGAAAGTGTGAAAGATGAGGTGGATGATGATGAGCCCTGTTGAAAGACAAATTTCTGTAACCGCTTGGTGTCAGTTTTTCCACTCTATTCTTATTTTCTGAGTTTCATTAAAATTTATCCTTTTGAGATAATTTGTTACAGTCACTGGAGAAAAAAAACCTAAAACTGGAAAATACACAGATTTTCCCTTTTATTATTTAAACATTTGTATAATGAGGGAATAAAAAAAGCTAATTTCCCTGACTGAAATTTAAAATCATTCTGTCTATTCAGCAAGTAACTGTAAACACACACACACACGTACACGCTGAAGATACACACACACTCACACACACTGAACTTTGAGGATTAGCAAGTCAGCAGACAGTGTTGTGCATGTATTTGGTCGTCAGTTTCATGCAAGTGAAGAGAAAAGAGGAAGCAGGCTGTTCATGCAAACAGGATGTGACCTGTGAAATGTAGTTTACAAGCTTGTATGCTATTGCTTGAGACAAAAATGTGGGTTTGAATTTACTTTTAAGGGTCTGCAAATTTCTATCTGAACTTGAAAAATAAATCATAAACAAAATCTTGTTTAAAAAAAAAAGATGCTTTTTCTAAACAAAAAAATCCAAGTAAAAAGATGCGGGTCCCAAAGCAAAGCCACATGATATACTTGAACTCCTGCGGTCTTTGTGGGTCATCTCCTCTGAAACTATTTTAATAGTTTAACATTGCAAAGCGTGACACACATGCAACTCCAAGTGCGTGAGCAGAAACCTAAACCATCATGTTTAAATTTAACAACCTTGTTGAAAATTTTCTTTGCAGTTTGTTACGCACTTCAGGAACCAGAATCTGAGCACAGGGAACAAAAACCCAACGCACCAATCAGCCACTAGTATTTTTATGGGCTATGGAAAAACAACTATGCACAGTCACAAGGATAATATTATGCACAATTGCATGCATGAATTTATTTGAATGTTTTTCTGTAACCGAATGTGGATACAGATTTTGTGATTATGCAGTGACTCTTGGCCTACTTTTAAACGGAAACTGACCGATGGTTTAAAATAAATGTAATTATACATTTCTTGTTTAATACTGTATATTTAGTACTGTGTGTTATCACTATGGCATCTCAAATAATAAAATGTGTTGTCAAATTGTCTTTATTTGAGAGTGCACAAGTGACAGTGGTTATATGCAAAGCTATTTCCTCATTCAGATGATTAAATTTGTAGACTTCATCTTGGTTTACTGCTTCAATATTGAGTAAAAACATTACAGTCATTTGTGACTTTCTTGCACAACCTAAATAACAGTTGCCTTTCTAACGCTACATCTCCTTTGATGTGAACATTTGAGAAAAGATGTTTAAGGATTTTGGAAGGTTGGCTTTCTTCACTGAGGGCACCCTATGTGCAGGGACTACCCACACTTTCAATGACACTCAATGTGTTGTAATTCCCATGTAACAGTTGCAATTACAAGTCAAGAATAACATCTACAGAATAAAATACATTTTATAACATTAAAATAAATACCAAGACATTTCCACTATTTATACAAGCTACATTAAAACAGTCATGTTTATGCAAAAATACAACCAAACAAGATTTTACAGAGTTCCTAAACTTCATCTTGTAGTTTGGGCATAAACCAGATCCAGTGTTGCCAGACGTACGATAATTATCGTATTCGTAGGATAATTTAGCCCTCTATAAATCTCACATGTACGATAATTTCAGCTCTTGCTTTGGTGGAATCTGCAACTGCAGATTACATTCAGAGACATTCCTTAACAACCAATCAACGCTTGCAGTGATGCATGACACTGCCCATGACTGCACTAATATTGAAGCTGTGGGTCATCAGATGTGTCAGGATGCAACTAAGTGGTGTCTGATAATCTTTCTCATAATAGGATCATTTTAGATCCTGGTACGATGCCTTACTATTTCCAGTCTGGCAACACTGACCAGATCTCAGGAACCAGAGGCTTGTCCTGGAAAAAAACAATAAATCATGTGATTCCTCTTCCTTCCAATAAAAACGTTCTACTCTTCTGAACAGATGTGTTCCAATAACAAGAACAAGGTGTTTCATTAGGTCAGAGCATGGGAAATCATGATCTCTATACAAAATCCACAACTACGGCTCTCAGACTTTATAAAATCCTGCATAAACCCAAAAAGTGGGCTCTTTTTAGGCAGCCAATGCCTTGTTTCCAGTGATTGGTACACTGTGGGTCAGTATGCTATTTTGTCTGTTTCCACTGTAAGGACCGCTTACAACCAATCCGTACCATGCCATTCCTGGGCCCCCGTCAGTCAAAGTTCTAAAGGACAATGGAGCAGAACGTTAGGGCATTCACTAGTGGTGTTGCACAACACAATCTATTAATTGGGGTACAGAAAAGTGTCACTGTTACCTATGACTTGTGTAACAAGTACAAGACATAAGTTTGTCCCTTCATAGTGACTGTTGCAGCAGCTACTTCCGCAAGAATTTTGGAATTCAGCAGTATTTTAGAAAACAAAAACCCAACATAAATATTCCTATGCCCCATTAGACAAATGAAATTTTTTCAAAGTATGAAATACTTGCATTGCTTTTCTACCAAGAGTTAGTTGCTTTCTGGAGTATTTCTCTTATCCGATGGCACCATCTACTGGCTACTGGCATATCACACAAAATCTCTGTCGCTCTGTTTTTTTTAAGATGGAGATTTCACGTTTCTTGTTTATAAGTGTGCTTCTGTAGCCAACAAACAGAGCTAAAACACGTTGTTTTACAAGAATCATTCTCATGCCGTGTTCTCATATATTTATATTTTAGAGACTTACTTGTCCGTGAAAAGTTCATCAACTCTGCATCAGCCGAGGTATTCCTTAAATTTGAAGCATCTAAGCGGTAATCTAACGCTATTGGTTAGTTCTGATTGGCGCTCAGTTTCCTATTGCACGGAGGGGGTGTGCTTAGCAAAAAAAAACGACGTATTGCTTACATTATATCGCAGTACAAGATAAGATCACTTTTACGGATTTCTGAAAAACTACATACTTTCTGAAAGTAGAAAACTCCGGAAAGCTACTTTAATGCTTCAAGCATCTGATCATCCTCTGGCCAGTGAATAGTTTTGAGTTTGAAAATAACTTTTAATACTGACTCCCCCAAGAATTCCCTAGCCAGGCCTGCTAGACTCATCCTCTGTTTAATTCTGTACAGATAAAGTCTGGTAACTCACAGGTAGAGAGGCACGTGAGAGGCGGGACTAGCCAGCTCAAAAAGAACCAATCAAACAAGACGGAAATGCCGACTGTACCGTGTGACGCTGTAGTTTTTTAGCTGTAGTCAAAAAAAGCATCTGGCAATGGAGCAAACATCTTTTTTTTTTTTGTAGAAGAAAGGCTTTTAGTGCTTCTACTTGTGGGTTTAAAGACATTCAAGTCATAGGGTGTTCCTCAGTGTCAAGGCGCCTGGCTGGCCTTGCGAGGCCAGGCGCCTTGCTTACAAGGACACAGTCCTTCCTTGGTTAAAGAAAACGGTTAAATGGAACAGACTTGCATCACGTGACCGCGGCTTCCACAGCGGTCACGTATCGTCACGTGACACGGGAGCTAATGTTATATTTTATGCGTATTAGTTTCAATATAAATATATAACGAGCCTTTTACTTTTTAAATTGTGTATATGTTTGTTAAATTAAATATCTAAGCGAGTTACTACCCGCTAGCCACCGAAGCTGCAACTAATAAGCAACTAACCAGCAATAGATTACTTCTTTGGATCTAAAAAAAAATACATTTTAAATTAGTTGACTTACTTTTGAACTTGAAAATTGTCCCCGAAGTAGCTGCCGGCTTCTGATCCGCCATCCTTTTGAAAATACAGCGGTGTATTCTGGGTAATTTTTGACCAAGGCTAGGCTACAACGCACCTCCTGTGTATCCTTGCTCAGCTAGCTAAACGGCTAACAAACGGAGAACACACGCCTCAGTAGAACATGAACATTGGAACGAGTCTTGGCGGCTCCCGATGACGTATCTCCTAGGCAACCGGAGTGGGGCCAAGACATCAAGGCAATGTTCCTTGGCATTGAGAAACAACCCATTTAGAACAGAGGAAAGAGCCACAGCGGACTCTGCCGCTGTCTTTGTTGTTTATGAAAAACTGAGCGTCGCTTGTGTGTGACGTCCGTGATGCTGTAGTTTTTTAGCTGTAGTCAAAAATGGCATTTGGTGAGGGTTAGGGTTAGTGCTTCACTTGTTATTTTTTTAAAGACGAGTCCAAGTCATTTAGAACAGAGGAAAGAGCCGCAGCGAACTCTGATCCAGTCGCCATGCTTATGACAAACTCGGTGTTGTGGTGTGTGAGGTACGCTGCTCAGCACTGATTGGCTTGGCTAGAATTCTCAAGGGGTGAGATTATTTGAATAGGATAGTTCCCAGACCCTTTCTCTGTGCAGAATTATTCAGAGGAGGAGTCTGGCAGGCCAGGCTAAGGATTCCCTGCAAGTTATGACTAATCTTACCTCGTCAGCCAACTGAACTTACTAAAAGAATTGCTTGTTTCCCAAGTAGAAATAGAAAAAACTTGCTTGAACATGCCTAACATGCCAGATTAGTCTACAATGAGTTCATTATTTTGAGAAAACAAAGAGTGCTGTAAAGGCGGGATGACTGAAATGGAAACACAGAAACACAAGAAACAATACTAACTCAGAACTGAACTGAAATTAAGCTGAGAATCTCCTCATCACGTGTCAATGCCCAACTAATACATAGAGAAAATGTAGTGACGACACACACTTTTAATCAATACACAAACTGTTCTAATGAAGGTGGTCACGCCTCCACGCGGCTGCAAAGGAAATAAGATTTCGGGATGTAAATGAAATCCAGACGTTGCTTATTAATGCTTCCATACACTAACTTGATTCTTACAACTGAAGTCCTAACTCACAAGCACATTTTCAAACAGAAACACTTAAAATCTTATGTGGCAAGGTGGAGAAATGAGGGCCCGGGCGGGATTTGATCCCCAGACTCCCAGGTGAGAGTCATGCTTGCTTACCAGTCAGCCAAACGGACATCCCCTTGGCCAACTAGCCAGGGTGCATGATCAGTCGGGACACTGTGACAGGATGCTCACACTGCCACATCTATATTAGCATCCTCAATAAAATGACCAGCCAATTTCTGAGAACTCAGCAATCCTTGAAATTCTAAAAGTTAAGCATGATTCATGCATCTTCGTTGGTACGGAGACGCGCAACGCCATTATGCCTTGGCGCAAGGGCTCTCTGACAGGCTCGCAGAGGCTGACAGAGACATGTCCAACTTTTTAACTATCTGTTGAAAGTGACGGAGACGGAGCTTGTGATTGGTCAAAATGCTGCTTCCTGTACATTCATCAACAGCACTGCCATTGCCCCCTCCAAAAATAAAATGATTTTTAGCAGCATGCCCAAGCCATCTTGGCTTGGGCATCTGGTCAGGATGCCTCCTGGACGCCTCCCTGGTGAGGTTTTCTGGGCACGTCCAACCAGGAGTAGGCCTAAAGGAAGACCCAGGACACGTTGGAGGGACTATGTCTCTCACCTGGCCACGGAACGCCTTGGGATTCCCCCGGAAGAGCTGGCCCAAGTGGCTGGGGAGAGGGGAGTCTGGGCCTCTCGACATCCCCCGCGACCCGACTCCGGATAAGCGGATGAAAATGGGTGGATGGATGGATATTTTGCAGCATACACAGAACAAATTGAAGAAAGACTCTTGAAAAAAGTCCAAAAATATGAACTTTTGTTCACCTGTGACTGAATAAGTACAAATGTAATCAGCAAGTGTTATATTCATGGACAGGAATGACAAGAAACGTGTGTTTAGAGGTGCTGATTGCATGAAAAGGAGGAGAACGAGGGACAAATTTGTTCATGTTAAAAAGGTTTTAATTAGGGATGGACATATATCGGCATCAATATCGGTATCGGCCGATGTTAGTCAAATTTTTAACGTATCGGTATCGGTCCGATAAATAAAACCGGGCCGATATTAACAACCGATATTTTTTCCATCTTGTCTCCATTTGTTTATCTGTTTCAGCGGGTGAAGGGGGTGATGTGTATCGTTTAGTCATGTGACAGTGATTGTAGTCATCTCAGAAGCATAAATGT